TTCGTTTGCCTTCTCGATCTTCTTTTTTTTTTTTTTTTTTTTTTTTTTTTTTTTATTATTACCTTGTCCTGATAGGATACATCTAACACAGTGCCTTAACTAGAATTCACAACTCTTGATAACCTTTCAATCGTTGCAGGGGAGTCTTCCAGGGTGAACTGGAGACCGTTGCAGGCCCTGAAGAGAGTACTCGAAGGTCTGAGATTCGCTCGTTTGGGAAACGGCGAGAACTGCTGCTTATTTACTGGTTCTCGTGTCTGAGCTATTTCAGGGAAACTGTGAGGGGGACCTTAATGATATATTGTGCATCATGACAACGCCCCAAACCAACTACGGGCGAGAACTGCTCTAACCTTGTTGTGCTTTGGCGGAATGGAGGTTGGCATGATGCGAATCGCTTGACTGAAACTACTGCCCCCTGGTTTCCCCACATCGTGCCTCTTCTCGCAAACTGCAGTTCTCGCTAATCGCTCATTCGGTCTTTGTTTATGAATCTCATCCATTTAAAGTGTTACTCCCTTCTCGCAAGCCGTAATTCCCAAGGGGGGGATAAGTCCGCGTCAGCAAGGAGAGAAGCAAGGGTTTCTGACCCCTGACACCTGCAGGACGCTGAGGACCTCGGAATCGGGCGCGGCGAGGTGACAGGCGTCGTAGCCCATGGCTTCAGCGAACTGCAGATGACCCTCCCCGGGTTTCCTCTATCCTGACAGCGGTCCTTTCGAGGCCTGGGAGGATTTCTATGCCTACTCCCTTCGTTAGGGTCGGACTCCGACCTTCGTGGATTTCCAGGCGTTCCTCAAGAATTGCTTCGAAGCCCGATACGATGTGACTGACGCCTTCGAGCGTGTCGTCACTACACGCTGGTCCGGCTCTGGTATCGCTGTCAGCCTGGATCGCCACATCCAGGTCTTTCAGGACGCCCGCCTCGTTTGTGACGTGGCGTTCCTCCCCGAGGCTGCCCCTATCGATCGTTTCCTGGCCAGCCTTCCGCTCGAGTACCGCTCCGAGCTATGGCGGTACGAGTTCACATCGGCCCCACAGGCTTACGAGGCCGCCAGGGACCACCAGCGGATGCGAGCCGGTCTTCACCCCGCCTCCTCCTCCCAGCCCCAGCGCACGGGCTACGTCTCCTCCTCCTCTCACGGCACTTCCCAGCGCCGTTCCCCTTTCCGTGGTCTCCCCCGCCGTTCCACGCAGCAGGGCCGCCACTTCTCGCGCCGCTTCAGCGCGCTGGAGTATGGTGAGCAGGACGCTGTTGCCCCACTGTCACCTGAGGGCGACCACAGCGACGACCTCGATCTCTACGAGGCCGTCCAATATCACTTGGAGGACTCTACCCTCCCTGCAGCTGAGCGCCTTCAGCTCGCGCTCTCCGCCCTCTCTCGGGCACGCAGCGGCCCCGGTCACGCCGGCGCGTCGCCCCCCGAGGTCCCTCAGGAGGACCTCCCTCAGGGCTTCGTCCCTCCTCGTGGTGTCCCTCACGTCCCCGCGGCGCCTCCTAGCCACGGTGCAGTGTACACCTGCGCCCTCCTCAGTAGTGGGCTTCCCGGCATCTCCGTTGTGGTTCGCCCCTCTTGCTACTGGAGTTGAGGTATCGCAGGACTCGACAGAGTGTACTCAGCCCTCTGTCGCAGTACCGTCTGTGCCTCCGCAGACCACCGTCTCCCCTCCTTCCCCGCCGCGACTACCGACGCGTCGAGCCATTCGCTCAGCCCGTTGCAGCGAGCAGCTTGCTACTCGCGAGGATGTTGTGTCCTCTCTTCTGGACTTGAGCATGCTCCAGGCTCGTCAGGAGCGACTCGCCGTCCATGTCGCTGCACTGCGTCGCCTTCTCGCCATCCTCTCTGACCCTGACTGCACCCTCCCGATCATCCCAGTACGACTCGGGACCTCCACGAGGGTGTACTCAGCGCTGTGGGATTCCGGTTCTCAGGGCGACTTCATTCACCCTCGCGTGGTGAAGGAAGCCCGCTTACCCACGACAGGGTCTCCGACCCCCATCTCCGTTACCCTAGGGGATGACAAGACCCAGCGCTTCTTCGATCAGTCGGTCACCGATCTCCCCTTCTTCCTCACTCTCGAGCCGAGTGATCGTTCCCGGCGTCTCGTCGCCACCGCTCCTCTGCACATTTCGATGTGATGGAGACGAGATACGACTTCATTCTCGGCAGTCCGTGTTCTCGTTGGTTCCGCAGCACCGAGGCCGATTGGACGACCAACACTCTCGTTCTCAAAACGAAGTGTGGACAAACGTATCGCGTACCTTTTATAGGTACCACGGCGACACCACACCCCGATCCTCCTCCCCCGGAGCCTTCAGTGCCCACACCATCTCCCTCTATTATTGTCACCTCGGCTCGGCAGTTCGCTCACTTCATTTGACAGGATAACGTCACCTTCTTTATGGTGGACGTGACGGATCTCTTACACGATGATCCACCCTGTCCCGACGCCGAGCTCATCCCTCTGGAGTCAGATCCTCCCTCTATCTCCATGGATCCCATCTCTACTTCCGTCCCTCTGCCGTCCTTCGAGTCCACCCCGTCGTCGCGCGCTGACGCTGACGCTGAGGAACTCGCACGATATACGGCTGACTTGGAGCCCGCAGTTCGTGACCTCATCCGAGAGTACCACGACGTTTTTCCATCGTCGTTCTCGTACGCCGGCATCCCACCGATGCGTGACGTCGAGCACTCCATTCAGCTTATGCCTGACTATCGTGTTCACCACCAGGCACCCTACAGACTCTCGATCCCCGAGGCCACCGAACTCAAGCGTCAGCTTGAGGAGCTCCTGA